CGTCCTGGCTCCACAGCCCAACAGCCCCAGGGCTGCTGTTCCTGCTCTCCACATCTGGATTTCACCATCCAGGCCCCTGGGAAGGCTCTGACCTGGCCCAGTGTTAAACCAACCCCTGACAAATCCCAACCACTGCCTGCCACAGGCTCCAGTCCCAAGAAAATCAGTAAAAAGCTGACACCTGCCAGAGTTTCAAGTGACAACAAGGCATGGCTGAGTCCTGAAATGGATTTCTTCACCCACCAGTGACTCTCACACAGTTACTGCATGGGCAGAGCCATCACTTTTCCCAGCAGAGATGATCAGAGTCTTCCCAGCATAAAAATCAACTTGTCAGGGACAACAGGAGAATCAGCTGGGCTGAAAATCAGTCCTTCCTCCCTGCTCCAGCTGTCCCATCTGCCAGCAGATAGCAAGGATGACAAACCCTTTGCTCTCAGGAGAGAAGTGAGCCAGGAGCCTCCTGCCACCTCCTCCCCAGGAGGGTCAGCCACAACCCCAGCACCTCCTGCTCAAAACAATCCAAACACAGCTCCAGCTCCATGCAGGAGGTTGGGATGAAAAGCATTTTATCACTTTAGAGCATGAGAGCAGAGCTCCAGCTAAAGCACCCTCGAGCACCCCTGTAAATCCTGAGCTGACAGCTCAAATGCCAAAGCTCAGAGCTGAGCTCACACTTGTGCTGATTCCTGCTCTTCAGATAAATGCAGGCAGTGATTGGATATTGTTCAGGGGTGGAAATATTTCTTCCCACCACACCATAATCACTCTGAAGAGCAAAATCTCCTCTACCAGGGGTGCAGGTACAAATAAACAGATGGAGGTTGTGTATTCCTGTATATATAAGTATTTCTAAGAGCGTTTCCAAGGTCAGTCCTACCCTAGTCTTATTTCCCTCTGAATTAACTTGATTTTTATTTGGAAACATCCTTAAGCCCTAATTTCTAACTGGATTTTAGTGTGTGACAGACAAAGTACTTATAAAATACTGGTCTTGAGTTTATATTGCTGGCAAGTTTGTGTTGTGGTTTTATTTTTGTTTGATTGTTTCAACCTCTCTTAATGTTTTTTTGGTTCTTTTTTTAATATTTGCTGAACTGCAGGAGTCCCCAAGGTCCTGCAAGGCATCAGCAGGTCGGGAGTAGCTGCTCCATGCTCCTTGTGCCTGGAGATGGAAGAGGGAGAGCTGATCCAGCCCCACACAGCCCCGTCCCACAGAGCAGTGCCAGATGCAGCTCCCATGGCTGATAAAGACAATTTCTCCAGGTTTTAGTGGTTTCCTTGTTGCTTTTTCCACACCTTGCTCTAACTCCACCATTTCTTTCCCTGGTAGGTGAGCCCAGAGTTTCATTCCCTGCAGGAGGAGTGCAGCTCTGGGGTCCCAGCACAGGAAGGACATGGAGCCAGGCTGGCAGAGCTGGGGGAGCTCACCTGGAGAGGAGAAGCTCCAGGGAGAGCTCAGAGCCCCTTGCAGGGCCTGAAGGGGCTCCAGGAGAGCTGGAGAGGGACTGGGGACAAGGCATGGAGGGACAGGACACAGGGAATGGCTCCCACTGCCAGAGGGCAGGGCTGGATGGGATATTGGGAATTAGGAATTGTTCCCTGGCAGGGTGGGCAGGCCCTGGCACAGGGTGCCCAGAGCAGCTGGGGCTGCCCCTGGATCCCTGGCAGTGCCCAAGGCCAGGCTGGACAGGGCTGGGAGCAGCCTGGGACAGTGAGAGGTGACCCTGCCATGGCAGGGGTGGGATGAGATGGTTTTTAACATCCCTCCCAACCCAACCATTCCATGATTCCATGATTCCCATACCACGGGAATGTCACTCCATGTGCACATAAATCCTCTGGCTTGGCAGCACCAGTGATCTGCCTTGCTGGCTTTAGAGGACAAATCTGTGGGGAAAAAGTCTGGGATATTAAGAGAAGATGCCATGCTTTTCTTGTGGAAATACTTTTAAGGCTCCAGGCTGACCCTCAGCCAATTTACCAGCAGCAGTAAAAGCAGCTCAAGTTAGTGTTAAACCTCAAAGGGATCCCTGAATTGTGCTTGACTTAATGAATCCAATAATCGATTCCTACAGCACAAATAAGGTGTGGGATGGATCAGCTAATAAGCATTCTCAGTTAATTGCTTTCTTCAAGTGACAATTTGTACAAATGATACCATCAAAGTAGTAATAATATCCCTATTGATTAAATTAATCTCGAAAAGACAACTCAAATAACTTTAATTAGCAATGCATGACACAAGCACAAAATTCTCTGAAAACAACCTTGCAGCCCATCCCAGACTTTGAAAGCATGGCAGCAGCCATGGCACAGACTTTGGCATCTTCATTCCAGCAGATCCACACAATTTTATGGAGCATCTTTAGGGAATGTCTGTGACTAACCATGAAAAGCCATTAAGCCTCCCTGCAGAGCACAAGAGCACAGGCAGCCTCCCCACTTAGTCACACTCACTGAAACCCAGGGCCACAAACAGCTCCAAAAGAAATGAAAACTTTCCAGCAGGAGGAGCAGGGATGGGGAATGAAGGCTCTGTGCCAAAATTCCCACTTGGAGCTGCCAGGGACCCACAGCAGCAGCACTTTCAAACCATGAGAGCTGGGCACCAGGTTGATGAAATCAGAGCACAAACTCCTCCAGAACAGGAAAGGGTTAAAGAGCTGGCCCAAAGCTTGTTCAGAGAGAGCAGGAGCTGAGCTGGGTCAGAAGGGGACAGCACCCAGGGCTCCCCAGGATGAGGGAATGGGAATTTTGGAATGCCAGAGTGGCACACAGGAGCCCAGGGCCACCCTGGGAATGGCTCTAACAGAGCTGGGTTTGGGCTTTTAGGGGGGTTTAAGAGGCTCCTGCAGGACTTTTCTCATTTTGCTCTCTGAACTCAGCTGCTGAAAGAACACAAGTCCCAGATATTTCCCCACAACAGGCATAGTACAGTTCATTTTACAGCACTCACAGAATCATGAAATTCTTTAGGGTGGAAAGTTTCTCTGAGATCTTTGAGCTCAACTGTGCCCCCAGATCTGCCAAGGCCACCAGTGCCACCATCACCATGTCCCCCAGTGCCACATCCCCACTTTAAACCCCTCAGGGATGGGACTCCCCCACTCTGAAGCACATTAATAAATCAGGATTCTTGTACACAACTTTGGCCCTTCCAGGTTAGTCCAGCCCAACCTTCTCAATTCTTTATTTCCATTTGTTATTCAGATTCCTCAATTCAATTTCCCATAACAGGTTTGCCTGTGCTTTGCCTGAAACACTTCAAATTTTCCATGTCCTTCTTGTAGCCTCAATGGATTTATTACTTTGTTTTTGTTCTTTGGACAGTTCTGGCTTTAGACTTTTCAGACATTTTGGTGCCAAAACTGCTGCCAGGATTTGAGGTGAGGCTGCAGCAGTGCAGAGCAGAGAGGGACAATCATATCCATAAAATATTTAAAAGTGCCCCAGGATTCTCAGAATGATGATGGAATTTGCACCATCATCAAAAAGAAACACTTTCTGGATTTATTTTCATCCAGGAATCACTGAAACAACCAAGGAACCCCCAAGTTACCTTTGGGACTCCAGACAGCCACTTATCAGGCAAAACAGCAAAACACCCACAAAGAGATTTTTGGAGCTCAAGAGTCTTTAAAATTCTACTTTCTGCACAGGCTTACAAGGCAGATTTCTAAGTATTTTGGCTCTCAAAACCATCAATAATTAAAAAACCTTGACCAGAACACACAGCATGAGTGTGAAAATGTGTGGCTTGGAAACTCAAGCTTGGGAAAGTCACTTGGGGAAGAGAAGGGTGTTTCTTCCCCCACAAAGATGTTTATTGGCCTTTCTAAAAAATTCAGCACATGAACAAGAAGAGGACAAATGCTCACCACTTTCTCTGAGACATCCGTCCAATTTTTCCAGTTAAGAAGCCAATCTTCAATGAAATCCCCCCAAACCAGGCAAATTAGCTGAAATTACTGTGAGAAGAGCATCTCCACAATGAGACCAAAAATCCCAAATCCAAACAAACTAAGAGAGGCACGAGAGGAGCTGGGTTTGGAGAGGGATCTCTGCAGCCCCATTGCAGGATGAGCAGTAATTACTTCACAAGGAGAGGAGCTCTGTGCCACACTGAAAGCCTTTAATTTCCACTCCCTTGTTTAAGTGAGATTATTGCTCCCCATAGCCAAAACCAACAGATTTCCTAAGTTTCCTGTGCCTTGCCAGCAAAGCAAATATCCTCTGGTGAATCTCTGAGCTGAACAATGATTTTTCATTTTTACAACAGCACAATCAATGCAATTTTCCAGTTAGAAGTCTCCTGCCTCCCCCTATCAGCTCATTAATGCACAAGTGTACTCCAAACCATGCTTGGAAGAATCTCCACAGACTCTGCCATCCCAGGTTACTCTGAACATGGAATTCATCACTTATGAATCACTTCAGTGTGTGTAAACACTTGAATCACTAAGCCAGATCTAATACTGTACACAGTAATCAAGGGATGTTGTCAAGGGGGAGGCACTGAGGCAGCTCTGAAATCCTGCCTTGTAGAGTTTTACTGTTCAAAGCTGCTTTTGTGCTTGTGAACACGTTTTACTTGCAGATGCTGAATGCCTGGAGAATATTTGCAGGCTTTGTGTCTTCTTGAGACACTCACAGGAGCCCCAGCACCCCCAAACACTGTTCACCCAACTGTGTTTTTCCTGCTATTAAAGATCCTTGTAACTTCCAGCAACACTGACAACACAGCCAGGTTCAAGCTGGAAATGCCATTTCATTCCAGCAGCTTTTTGCATCAGGTCACACAGATTGGAATCCAAGGAAAAAAATTAAACTCATCCCCAAAACCGAGTCATTTTTCTCCCGTAAAGTGAAATTAAAATGCTGTGAATGCCAGCACCTCCCAGCTCCCCTGAAGGATCCCAGTAACTGTTCAACTCAGTGACACCTCTGGGCTCCTGAGAACACTGTGGGGTGACATTTTGCTGCCCAGTGGCACCAACCTTGATGCCCAGCTCGATGTTCTCCCCTCCGTACACGTCCATGCCGGGGTCCAGCAGCCCGATCTCCCCGAAGAACTTCCTGTTGACCACGAAGGAGCAGCCGATCATGGCCGGGGTCCTGCACGGAGAGAAGCACAGGGGTGACATTTAGGGACACTGCCCCCTCCCTGCTGCCCCACGGGCTCATTGCTGCTCAGCTGCCAGGCTCAGCTGCCTCCCACCTCCGCTCACCCCAAAGACTTCACGGCTATGTGCCTTTGAGGACATTGTTTTACCACTGCAATAAATGGTCAAAAATCCAAGCTCACTTCAGGCTGTACAGAATGGAGGAAGGTTTTCCTGGAGTTTTTATGGAGGAGCTCTCACACCTTGCTTTACTGGAAACACCTCAGGATGTCTGTGGGCAAGGGCACAGCTCTGCCATAAATGAAGGAAATACAATAATGGCCTTTCCCTTTGTCTTAGGTGGGAATGGCTCAGCTGCTATTCTGACTCTGCCAGTGGTTTTATTTCTTTTTTTGTACTATTGAATTTGTATTTTTAGTTTTCCTAATAAAGAACTGTTATTCCTATTCCCATATCTTTTCCTGAGAGCCCCTTTAATTTCAGAATTACAATAATTCAGAGGGAGGGGATTTACATTTTCCATTTCAGGAGAGGCTCCTGCCTCCCTTAGCAGACACCTGTCTGTTCAAACCCAGACAATTATGGAGGAGCTCTCAGGCTGTGCTTTACTGGAAATACCTCGGGGTGTCTGTGGGCAAGGGCACAGCTCTGCCACAAATGAAGGAAATACAAGAATGGCCTTTCCCTTCTCTGACTTCCAGCATGTCTGGAATGGAGTAGACTTTAGGACAGGTATTTTTAGGGAATTCCAGGACAGAACGTTTCCAGCTGGAATCACAAAGGAGCCATGGCCACCAGCAGCAAGCTCACTGCAAATTTGTAGACGCAAATCCTTTAAAAACTGTTTGGAGAAGCATGTGTGGGGTCATTTCCCAGTTCCGCCAGTATCAGCAGGGCTCTGGGTTAGGGATCAAGTTGCCACATCCATCCTGCACTTCATGCCCTCCAGCTCAGAGCTCGCAGCTCATACTGCAGGGGCAGCCAGGGACAGGGCTGGGCAGGGAAATAACCCAGAAAACAGGGAGCATCAGTGGAATAGCATAAGGAGGGAGGAAAATCACAGTGCCAGAAGTTAATTTGTCATAACTGTGCAATTTTAAGGACATTATAGATGGTTGTGTTTACTAATGACCCTCATTACTCACAAACCCCTGGACCAGCTCTCCAGCTGCTCCAGCTGCCCTGAGATGAGGATGCAGTTCTGATTCACACACTGAGATCACATTTCAGGGGATTTTTTGAGTGCTTAGCCCTTCTGACCCTCTCCATAAAACTGCACTTTGCCCAGAGCCCAGCACTGCACAGTCCCACGTGGTTCTGCTCGTGCTGCTTGGGGACACTCTCAGCTGCTGCTGCTGCCATGGTGTGTGCACAGTTTGCCCCTGGGACATTCCCTCTGCTGGAACAGAAATAGAAAAAGCATTCTCCCATTTGACTGCTGCTCTTTGAATCTGTGCTGTAAAGGAAAAACCCAGGGGCTCACTCAGTCCAGCAGGGAGGTGCCAGTGAATTTTACAGCGAGGTGTTGGCCATGAAGACCCCCAACACCCCAACACAAGGTCCTGCCAGAGGTTGATTTTTTGGGAGCTCTAGGACTCCCCTGCCCACCCTGAGCCCCGAGCTCTGAACAGGGGGGTGGGATGCCCATCATCACCTCTGTGAGCCCATGGAAATCCCACAGCCCCCACGAATGCCTGCTCTCCAGAGGGAAGCTGCTCTCGAGGCAGGAATGGGGTGACAGGATCCTGTGTGGTAACAGCAGCCCCCAAATCCTGGCCCAAAGCCCATTCCAGCCCTGTCCATGCCATGGAGCACGTCCAAGGCTGGACTGAGCAGGTTTGGCCTGCAGAGGTGAGAACAGCCCTGAATTCCCCCAGACCTGGCTCACAGACAGCAAGGCCCAGCTCTCCATCCACACCTCACACGGTGCCAAATCTGCCAGAGGAGCTCCTGGGGTCCCCAGGGCAGCTCAGGAATTCCAAGGATTTCACAGCTCAGCTCCACCAGACTCATCCTGATGAAACCCATGAGTTCCTTGGATGAAAGCTTCTGCCCACTTTAATATTATTATTTATAAACATTTTAATATTTCTAATAGAAAGTAGAAGAGCTGGATGATGCTGCCACATTAAATTAGTTCCAATTGGAACCCATCAGAAGGTTTTTCCAATAGATTTCTTCCCTGACAGCTGGCTCAGCCTTCCTTCCACGGAGCAGGATAATGTTTCATGGTTTGCTGCCACTCTGGTACTTAAGATTTCAATTCTCTTGCTTTATTTGTAGCAAGTTAACTGCCATTAACAGAAACAATTCCTTCTGAAATGATAACCACCTTATAGATGCCAAATCTAATAGTTCCATTATCCTAGATTACCTCCTGGAATTTAAGAGAAGGGAAAATTGCTCTGGTTTTATCCAGGGTATGAACAACCCAGTTCATCTCCTCCACTGGGAACAGGTGTGGAAACCTCTGACTTCTCCTGTCAAAAACTGTTAGAGGCACTCAGAGAAAAGGTAAAAGCTAGAAAAAGAATCCAGGAGAAAGTTTCAGACAAAGGAAACTGCATTTTGGACCAAATAATGTGGATCAGTGGGAACTCTCAACCAGGTAAATGAGATTTTCTGGGCTGGAAACAGCTCAGGAGCCTTGAACAGGAGCTGTTACCCCGAGATCTTCTTTCACTGTTATTTATAAATCATGGCATGGGTTGGGTGGGAAGGGACCTTAAAGCCCATCCAGTACCACCCCTGCCATGGGCAGGGACACCTTCCACTGTCCCAGGCTGCTCCAAGCCCCAGTGTCCAGCCTGGCCTTGGGCACTGCCAGGGATCCAGGGGCAGCCACAGCTGCTCTGGGCACCCTGTGCCAGGGCCTGCCCACCCTCCCAGGGAGGGATTTTTGTAATTTTTCCTCACAACATGACTTCACTTTATAAAGCACAGAGCCACCAATCCTTCCCAAAATTCTCTTGGAAACAGTTTAACTGGGATTTAGTAACTTCACCTTTGTTTTCCCCCTCCCCACTGCACGTCCTGTTCCAGCCCAGGACCCCAGGCAGCTCCCGAGGCACCGCTCCTGCTCCCTCCAGCAATCCAAATTAAGTGCTCCATTCTCCTCTGTAACAATGCCTCCACATTAAATAAATGAGGAATCAAGCAGCACTCAACAATTTAAATAAAAACACCATTTGATTTGGGAGTAAATCCCTCAAAAAGGTGGCCGCTGACAATAATGGATTGCTCATCCCCAACGAAATAATGGCCTGCAGACAAAGAGCTGATAAAGCCTCTTGTTCCTCTGCCCCTTAATTAAAAGCATTTACACAGCTTGTTTTTAAAAATCACCCAGCTCAGCCGAATGCATTTTTAGTTGTCTGATAGCTATTCTCCCTTTAATGAGAAAGGAAAAGCAGAATTTGGCAGGAAGGAAGAGCAGAGATGCTGAACAGAATTACTGGGTTTGTATCCAGAACTCCACAGTGTTACTTCCTTGCCATTCTTTTGCTTGGTTCTTCTATAGAACAAGTGAAGAAAGGTCAAGAAAAGCAGCTTTTATGAAATATCCTTCTTGTGGATCTCTAAATAAAGATGAAGGAGATACAAGGAAAAACGTTTATCCTGCTCTATTAAGTTACTTTAATGGTCTGCCTTTCTTTAGCTCATAGTTATCATCTAATGATTAAAAAGTCTCAAGGAGATTGCCCCTTCAATTCAAGGAAATTAATTTTCCCCCACAATTGGATTTGGCTTCAAATTTTACACTAAAGAGGAGGTTATAAAATATGCAGAAAAAAGATATTAAAAAAATAATTAGTGCATTTACCATTGAGTGCAAGAGGCTGAGAACAGACTGGAAGAACTTCCAGGGTGTCCAATTCCTGTTAAGCTGCTGCTGGTTCTAATAGACTTGGGTCATGGAGTTGCTCACCTTCCTCACCTTCCTCAGCATTTGGGGCAGTCCTGTACCTGCCCAGAAGGAATTTCTTTGTCCCTCTCCCAACCTTGCCATTCTTATTTCAACACACTGAAGTCACACACCTTACAGTCATGGATGGAATCATGGAATGGATTAAAACCCATCCAGCTCCACCCAGCAGGGACACCTTCCACCTACCCAGCTTGCTCCAAGCCCTGTCCAGCGTGGCCTTGGAAAGGAGTCACTGACAGGACTCCAGTAGGGCTAAGGGTATAAAAGGTGAAGCATCCATTTGGAGATGGGCACCTGGCTGATAATCACAGGGGCTCCCAGCACTGTAATTTTTCCTTATTTAGTCCTTTTGTTTAATTTTTTGTTAAGGTTTAATGACCTTTTAAAATTTTAAAAGTGAGCAGTCATTCTCACATCAGCCACAACCCCAAGCACGTGGTGCCTCCATCTCACCCCTTGCTTACCCCATCCCAGCTCCTCCCAACCCCAAACACCCCAGGCAGGATGCAGGATGCATTCCATGGAGCAGGGTTTGCTTTGTTAGTGAGCTCAGCCCTGGATTTCTGCAGGAAGGGCCGAGTGCCCGAGGCCAGGGCAGGCAGGGGAGGCACTGCCCAGGCAGCAGCCTGATGGCAAAAGCCCCAAATCTGGTGTCACACACAGAGCACATCTCCAAAGGGGAATCCCATGTTCCTGTGGGACACCTTGGTGCAAGGCAGGAGCTGGAAGAGCCACGCTCCCAGCTCCCCTTCACTGCCAGGGGGATGGAGAAAGCTGGATGTCTTTCCCAGGGATGTAACCAAATGTCCATGAAGGAATGGCATTTCAGTCCCCAGCAGCATCCCTTCCTTAATCTCATCCCCAGGGCAGCATCTCCACGAGCTGTTCCTTGAACAATTCCGTTTCCCTGCCCCAGTGCCCTTGGTTAATTGTCTGTTTCCAATGGGTTTATTTTCCTGCTGTTGCTAAGTACCACAGAACCTGTGAAACAAATTAAAAATAAGAGATACCACATAAAAGAGATGCTGGATTGAATGGCTTTGCTGAATTTACTGGAGATTAAT